GCCCAACTTATCAAGTTAAGGGTTCAATTCCCAGATTATATTATCAAACGGGTCAGACTTGACAATGCTGGTGAGTTTACATCTCAAGCATTTAATGATTATTGTATGGCAGTGGGAATTGATGTTGAACACCCTGTGGCACATGTTCATACTCAAAATGGTCTAGCAGAATCATTAATTAAACGACTGCAGCTCATAGCTAGACCATTGATAATGAGAACAAAACTTCCTGCTTCAGTATGGGGACATGCTATTCTGCATGCAGATGATCTAATTCGAATTAAACTAAGTGCATATCATAAATACTCGCCATTACAGTTGGCATACGGTCGAGAACCAAATATTGCACATATAAGAATTTTTGGTTGTGCAATATATGTACCAATTGCTCCGCCCCAACGTACAAAAATGGGGCCTCAAAGAAGGTTGGGAATATATGTTGGATATGAATCTCCATCAATAATCAAATACCTTGAGCCGAAAACAGGTGATGTTTTTACAGCTCAGTTTGATGATTGTCATTTTAATAAAGAATTGTTTCCCCCCTTAGGTGGGAATGAAAAATCAATTGAGAGAAATATTGAATGGAGAACAACATCACTATCATATCTTGATCCTCCCACCAAACAAAGAGAGCAAGAAGTTCAAAAGAGCATACATCTGCAGAATATCGCAAATCAATTGCCAGATGCATTTACTGATTTAAAAAGGGTGACCAAATCACATGTGGCAGCTGTGAATGCCCCTACTTGAATTGAGATCCCAAAAGAAATGGCAAATGATGATGTGCCAAATGAGTCAAAGACACGCTTGAAACGAGGAAGACCAATTGGGTCTAAAGATAAGAATCCTCGAAACAAAAGAGAAATTCGTGACCCAAATTTAGAAAAGAATCAAGATGGTGAAAAAATTTCGGGGCAGAATGAAAATATTGAAATTTTCATTAATTACGTAAATAATGGGAATCTTTGGAAGCGTGATGAGATCACAAATATTGATGATGCATTTGCATATATGGTATCAAAAGAAACTGAAAATGAAGTTGAGGATCCTGAACCAAAATCTGTAACTGAATGTCAGAAAAGACATGATTGGGATAAATGGAAAGGCGCCATACAAGCCGAGTTAGATTCACTCAATAAACGAAAAGTTTTTGGGCCTATTTCCATTATACCAAAAGACATAAAACCTATTGGATACAAATGGGTTTTCACCAGAAAGAGAAATGAGAAAAATGAGATCACGAGATATAAAGGAATCAGAATGCCCGAAGCACTAAACTTGAGATGCGTCTCATGGATGTTGTAACTGCTTATTTGTATGGATCATTAGACACCGACATATATATGAAAATTCCAGAAGGAATCAGAATGCCCGAAGCACTAAACTCCAAACCTAGAGAGTTATGTGCGTTAAAGTTGCAAAGATCATTATATGGCTTGAAACAATCCGGGCGTATGTGGTATAATTGTTTGAGTGAACAATTACTAAAAAAGGGATACTTAAATGATCAAATATGTCCGTGTGTCTTTATAAAGAAATCACATAATGGAGTTGTGATAAAAGCTGTATATGTTGATGACCTTAATATTATTGGGACAGCAAATGAAATACAAGAAGCAGTTACCTTTTTGAAAGGCGAATATGAAATGAAAGATCTCGGAAAAACCGAATATTGTCTCGGTTTACAGATAGAGAGAGTACAAAATGGGATATTTGTCCATCAATCTAACTATAGTAAAAGAGTATTGAAATGATTTAATATGGACAAAGCTAATCCCCTTAGTACTCCGATGGTTAACCGAATATTGGATGTTGAAAAGGATCCATTTCGACCATGTGAAGAAAATGAAGAAGTACTTGGTCCTGAGGTACCATATATGAGTGCAATAGGGGCTCTTATGTATCTTGCTAATTGCACCAGACCAGATATATCTTTTGCTACCAACTTATTAGCAAGATATAACTCGTCACCTACGAGGAGACACTGGAATGGAATCAAGCATATATTTCGTTATCTCCAAGGAACAATCGATCTGGGATTACTTTACTCAAATGATAAAAAACATGAAATGATCGGTTTTGCAGATGCAGGATATTTATCAGACCCACATAAGGCAAGATCTCAGACTGGCTACATTTTCACAATTGGTGGAACTGCATTTTCTTGGCGCTCTCAGAAACAAACACTAGTTGCTACATCTTCAAACCATGCTGAAATCATTGCACTGCATGAAGCAACTAGGGAAAGCATCTGGCTCAGAAACATGACTCAACACATTCAACAAGCCAGTGGATTCTCGAATAATAAAGACCCGACAGTGATATTTGAAGACAATGCAGCATGTGTCGCTCAGACCAAAGAAGGATACATCAAGAGTGACAGAACTAAACATATCCCACCAAAGTTCTTCTCATACACTCAAGAACTTGAAAGGAACAAACAAATCAAGGTTCAATACATCCGATCAAGTGATAACGCAGCAGATTTGTTTACAAAGGCGCTCCCAACTACAACGTTCCGAAAGCATGTCCATAACATTGGAATGAGACATCTCCGAGATTTACACGGATGATAACTCGAGGGGGAGCATGTGTGGCTGTACTCTTTTTCCCTTATCTCGGTGTTTTTCCCACAGGGTTTTTCCGGATAAGGTTTTTAATGAGGCAGCATAAACGCACATTGCATTGTGGTTATTCCAAGGGGGAGTGTTATAATATGTACAAGTGGAATAAACCACTATGCACAAAATAATTTTACTCCATTATTTGTTGTTATGGTTATAGTGAAATGGGGTATGGATATTAATAATTGATGTGAATTGTGTCGGAAGAGTTTTGCCTATAAAAGGCACTCCAAGTGTAGAGAAAATTTGCACCATTGAAAGAAAGAAAGAAGAAAGAAATATTCAGTATAATTTCTATCCGACTTCTATTTGGTGTTCTTTATATTTTCCGTTTTTATAACAATTTTGGATTTAGTTGAATTTTTTTTATTCAAAAAAAGTTGGTTGAGTCAAGTTTGAGTGAAATTTTAAGTTTTTGTTAAAATAATATTTCAAATATAATAATTAAAAGTAGAAGAGAGATGATTGAAAGTGATGAGTAATTAAAATTATGTGATTTCACGAATCTATTACTATATAATTAGGCAACCCACTTACTAAAAATATTAAGTGTTTAGTGGCTCCCTCATTATATTACTATTTATGGAAAGTTAGTTCTAATTTTTTTATTATTTTATTAAACGTGTTTCAACCTTCGTTAATTATTTTTTTTAATAATAGGTTAATAGTAAAAATTGACCTAAATTTGTTATTACCATTCATAGATAGGCATTTTAAAATGTTTTGTCTGTTTTGATTTCTCATTAATATAAAAGTAAATTTCTTTTTACATATATATGATATGTTGAATCACAGTGAATAATTTATAATGTAAGTTAAATAATAATTTATATTTAAAGTCTTCCTAAAAATAAGAAGATACTAGATAATAATATGATACTTATTTAAATAAAAGAATGGTTCACAAATAAAGAAATTGTAAGTATATGTATAGAAAATATTAGTTAATAAATAAGATTACATTATAAATTATAAAACCAGACAAGTAAGAAATAATATATTCAAGTGTCAAAATATGATCTAAATTACATAATAAATTCAAACAAACTGTAATAAAATGTATTAAGATAATAAAATAATTAAAAAAATTTCTTATACCTCAACTATATATATTTGCTCATTTAGTACATGATGTTCCAATTAATCAATTTAGTTACTCAAATTTTCTTTTATCAAAACTATATAAAAAAAATAAAAAAAAACTATATAAAAAAAATCGTTAATACTATGTCAATTTGTTCTATTAATAAAAAAACTAAAGAATATATATATATATATATATATAGAAATCTACTTTTAGGCTTTTAATTCTGAACTTTACATTGTTGCTTCTCGAGTTACAAATAAAAAGACACAAGATACTGATATATAATGAGAAATAAAATATACAGATACAAACATTGTATATGGTAGTCTATTTTAATTGCATATAAAAATTATTTATTCTATTTATGTTTCCTTATTTCATTTATTTTTAATAGTTCTGTGTATTTGCACGGGCCACGATACTAGTAGTAAATTAAAGTTGTTGTGTCGTGTGAGAAAGATTGATTGATATTTTTAATTATATTGATAATATTGACGAGAGTTGAGTTAAATTAAATCTGAATTAAAAAATTATCTGTTCGAAAGTGATAAGATATTTTATAAGTTTGTCTAGGCATACTTTTTAGGACTAGACATTGCCTAGATGGTCTAGACCAGTGTGGAGTTCGTCATGTTTACTCGAAGTCGACGATCTATGCCATACAACATTGCCTAGATGGTTTAAACAACTGTGGAGTTGGTCATGTTTACTCGACGAGCTATGCGGTGTTTCGACGTATGTATAAATTTTGTTATATATTTTTAAATTTATATGTAAAATTAAATAAAATTAAGTTTTTATTTTTATAATAATAATTTTGTTTTATTTACTATAGTAGTTATAAATATATATTGCATTTAAATATATATATATATATATATATATTTAATATTAATTAGTATATTTTATTATATTACAGTATCATGTTTCATATATTTATACAACATTCACATGAAGAATATAAAATAATAGACCCAAAAAGAATGAAACACCAAATGTCGATCATTACACGAAAAATGTAAAAAGACCAAAGTAAAAGATGAAATATGAAAATCAGTAAAAAAAGATGGAGATATAAGAACAAAGATCAATCATTTTACACGAAAAATGTAAAAAGAGCCAAAGTAATTGCAGTACTAAGTTTTTGGTGAATGATATACGAGATCTTTTGGGACCGGCAAGGAAAAAAACTACCATCCCATACGAGTAGCAATATCCAGCTGCATTCGCGATAATATTTGTCCAGCAGTCGGTTAAAAGATTTTCGGATTTTGCACGTACATTCGTCAATCCATGTCGAGAAAATCCATTCTCCTTTTCATGGTGCCCTTGAGTTCCGAAGACTCCCTTTCTGCTTTCTGTGCCTAAAAATGATTCAAAATATATACTTAGCAAAACACAAACCTATTGAGGAATAAACACAAACCTCAGTTGGGTATTCATAAATTTAAAAGAAAGCTAGATTTTATTTTAGAATTTTCATCTTTCATTAATTAGATCGAACCTCAACACCAAAATCAAAACAGAACATCAAAAGATAAAAGCTTTTACCCTCTTTATTTCTGTCACTTCCACACGAGTCATGCGTGAAGGAAGTTCCTCCTTCTCCAAGTCCTGTCCAATAATAACAATCACATCTTATGTATATTTAATATATAAGATGAAAGAAAATAAGAACCTCGCAAAATTAATTTCCCACAAAAAAATACAAAACATACCAGCTCTCCAATCAAGACGACATTTTCCCCACGGATTACGTAAAGACCTAATGGTATGTCACAATATAGGTCACCAACAATAACGCGCTCGCATGCACCTTCTAGAACAGCATTAGCTACACAAGATAGCAAATTATGTTACACAAACACTAAAAACGAGGGATAGTCAAGTTAAAAAAAAAAGAATTATATTGCAAATTCAATTACCAAATTGATCAAAGGAACGAAGTATCCCCATTAGTTTCCGGCCATCTCGGAGTAATACAAGAAGTTTTTCTAGAAAAAGAAAAAAAGAAAGGCATAATTCAAATCAGAATGCAATGACGCCAATGAACTTGAAGAGGAAAAATGATGCAGTATTCATTTAGAACGACGATAAAAACTACTATGTTCAGCGTACTTCAACTACCAGAAAGACCACAAATACAATTACAATACAAATATTCTGGATATGAAAGTAAATATTCTTGTTGCTACAAGGTGAATTAATTACAATATACTTTGACATAAAACTTAAGAGGTTAAGCTCTCATATCATGCCGAATAAACTCTTTTTACAACCATTAGAACAGAAGCAGTTTCAATTATATGCATAGATGTGGTTGAGCACTTAAAAGCTTGGACTATGAGGACAGTCGAGGATATAATTAACAAAAAAAAATGCCAAAAGTTAATGTAGTTGCATCAAATTGATTAGCCAGCTCAAATTGATATCATTTTCCAACTTGAGTAACTATATAAGATGGCAGATTTTTCTATTTTTCATAGATAATCGTTGCAAGTTATGGGATATCAACAGCTAAATGTCCCTCTACACCTCATAATTCTGATAGAAAAAAGGCCGAAAGCAAAATTTAGAAAAAGATATTCATTGAGTCTATTACTGGATTTCCACATATCTGGATCGTTACCCTCCAAATTGTTCCAAATCTAGCTATAACGATAGAATCTAGTTTTTATAAACTTCGGAAATTCAGATTTGTATGCTTGTATTAAAATCTATAGTTCCCATTTCATCTTTGACACTAGTCACTAACAATATTCACAACTTCGCAAAAGAAACAAGAAGTCGCGCAGTAGTTAAGTTACTCTAAGATTATCAAAGTAAAAAATCTTTATATATTAAAAAGATGGCAGTAGGGTAAATTATAACTAGCCACAAAGTAGACCAATTAAACAGAACCTGAAAACATGTAATCAAACTTCTTTAGCAAAATCCTACACTATATTTTACTCCCTTCCCCTCACTGTTTAACACAACCAAAACAAAGGTGTTGCGATTCCTTACTTCGACAAAGCGTGCAAATTCCTCAATCAAAAACTAAAAACAGATAATTGGTACACTAGATTACCTATGAGAAAATAATTAAAAATTGTAACACGCTCCCTTTAATTTTTCTCATTACATGCAACCCACAAATACACATTCTTAATTTAAAAAAAAAAAAAAATTAAATTACTTAGAATTTTCAGTGAGACCCACATAACCAATACAGACCAAGAACTCAAGAACCAATAATGGCACAGTTCAAACACTCACAAAAAAACCAACAAAAAAATGTGCATCTCATTCTCATTTTCAATGAATCTCACAAAACACAGAGACACACACACTTACTGTCAAGATAGCTTGCAAGCGAAGTGGAGAGGTAGATATCTTCCGGGCCCGCCCAAGACATTGATGACCTTAAAACAAAGCTTCAATCTTTCCGTTATCCTCCAAAAACCCACCGAAACAAATTGCATTGGCAGCTCAAACTAGCCCTTTAATTGCCAATTTTCGGCAAGTTTCCTAAAACCGGATTCAAGAAAATGAGAAGGATATTAAAGATTTTCGGGAACTTGGATAGTAGGAGTTGACTTTTGGTCGAAGGCCGGATCTGTGCCAGAAACCCTAGTCTGGGATGGGGGTGGGCATGGTTAAGGATCTTAATCCCCAAATTCGGGGTTTCAGGGCGTGAGGCACGGCGTGAGTTTTTAGCTCACTATTGATGTAATTATTGATGTAATGTAACCGTCAGACATAACTGATATAACGGTTACAAATCCCAATAAAATAATTCCGTAACGGGATTATAAAGTCTCTCATTAATTAGTCAAACACACATGTGTACATCTGGGTTCCAGTCATAATTAATCAAATAAGGCCTCGTTTACTAGCAAAGATAGGATTGGATTAGGTTGGTTAACCAACCTAATCATTCATTTACTAGGCAAGTTAGTGATTGGATAAAAATGATGTGTTACTTAGCTGGCAGGTGGGCCCGAACATATTTAAATGACGTGTGAAGACTATTCATTCCGCTCAATTTGGCCGGATTTTTTAATCCACTCTTTTATATCCCAACTTTGTCCAAATTTACCCCTCAGGCATCTTAATGTCCATTATACCCCTCAATGTCTCCAAATTTACAACTCTAGTATCTATAAGACAAAAAAACCTTACGATCTATCTGCTCGAACTCGACACTGTTATAACCCTAGCAGCTCCTGCGTAAATTCTCTATCTTCTGCTTTTGCTTCGAAATTGAGTTGATATTTTCGACTTTCTTGTAATTAATTTTCTTGTGAACTTGAAGGTGTCGCTGCAATTGCTTGTTCTTGGTCGACGGATTGCGACAACACATACTCCAATCCAAATTCGAGGTCATTAATTTGATAATTTCTGCTTCAATTATTTTTTCTTCCCTTGATTTTTTGCTGAAAAATCGGACACAAATATATAGGAACTCCTTTGTTTGGAAGTATGAGATAGGATAAAGCCATTTATCAATTGCCTAATCTGTTGTTTGTTAACCGTGATAAAAGCTTGAGATAATTTTGAGGCCCGACATTAAATTCAAAGAAATCCTGAATATGGAAGATAAAGTGATCATGAGGGGAACTGTATGATATAAAACATCTCCTTGGATTATTGTGCAGAGCCTCGGACCATAGCACTCGTAATATTTGCATAATATTTCTCTCTCCCCTTTCCTTAGATCCATTTTTCGCCGAAACATTTTCGACATGGGGATTGAGCGCGCCTCTCCTTCGGCGGGATTCATTTGTCGTGCGGCTTCATCCTTCACCTTGACGGTTATGGTTCGTCGGGAGGGCATCGAGTTTCTGGTCCGAGGTGTCGTCTCCTCTGTGGGCGGCCGTTCTGATTTTGGATATGTGGCCCTTTTTGGAGGAGCCTCGGTTCCGATGGTGAAGGTTGCCCTTGCGGCAGTCGAGATGGAGCGACGACTCTTTCCTTTTGGGTGAGTCCGACTTCCGGGGCGGAATCAATGTTGCTTGCGAGCTCTCTAGTGAGGCGGCATTACCCTCCGCCTGCATTTCCTATGTTTCAGCTGGCCATGGCGGCAAGGGCCCGGGGGTTGCTGGGTTGTTTTCGGTGGCAGACCTTGACGGCCAGCTGCGTCGGGTGTTGGGATTTAGAGATGGTTCACTGAGGTTTTCCCCCGCTCATGTTCTGCCCTGGTGTTGGGTGAGTTGGAGCCATCAGCGGGGCGACTTTAACTTCGGTCGGTTGGCGGCGGCCGCCGATTGGGCGAGGGGAACTTGGATGGGGGTCCTCTAATGTCGCTCCTGTGGTGGCCTTTTGGAAGGGTTCGAGACATTTGGTCCGATTCTTGTTAGCCGCATAAGGAGTTTCCTGTTTTGTGTTAGGCCAGAGGTCCGGTCTTCTCGTTTGGTTGCCTTAGGTGGTTGTTCGCTTGGAGTGTTTGGGAGTGACTCCTAGGCGGATGGGGAGGACATTAGTTTATTCTTGCTTTTATGCTTTTGCTTGTGCATTTTTTATTTTGAGTTTTTCTCTCCTTAGGGAGTTTGTTTGGTGTAGTTTCCACTTATGGGAGTGTGTGTGTTCTCCTTTTAGGAGCTTTGTTTGGTTCTAGACTACGCTTGTCGTAGTTATCCATGTTTGATCAGGTAGTTGTTTTATTCAGTTGTTTAGTTGTAATCAAGCTTGTAAATTGTTTAATTATTTATAAAAGCCTACCGTTTCCAAAAAATAAAAAAGCGATTGTTGTGCAAAGTTACAGTTATGTCCCTACTATTTGCAATTCTTGCCCCCAAAATAATATGTTGTTGTCTGTACCACTGCTGCAATTCTTCGTGTATCGCCGCCGCTGTAGAATACGTTTCCACACCAACACCACCATGGGTGCATGTGCAACCCGCCCATCTCTGCTAGCGTCTCCAAATCTGCACCACCCATAGGGAAAATTGCTTTTTAGATTTTTAGGTGCTCATCCATTTCTCTACTTCAAGAGGAAAGTATTAAATTTTTTGATAAAATATTTTAAGAACCAGATATGTTTGTATACAAGAAATCTA